GCTTCAATATATTATCCTAACTTGGCACCCATTTAGATCTCACTTCTTTTGTCGTTGAAGTCAACAACCAAGGCATATATTATAGTATTGAACTTGGCTCTCATTTTACATATATGTTTTTGGTGGGATATCATTACTTTTTGTATGTAAATTATTATAACCTAACCTAGCCATGACGTATTCTATAAATAAAGTTTATTACTATATAATATAATTCAGTTACTAATATTAATAATAATATTTATTATAAAATATTTTCCGTTGTATATACAGAGTATAAAATATATGTAAAATTAATATACAATTATTTTAACTCTTTTTGAGTATATTTTTAATTATCATAATTTTATTGACTGTAGTTTCTACTGTTGGGTGGATAATTCATAATTTGTAAGAATAATTATTTAATTATTTTAATTGTAATATTAAAAAAAAATAATATTAATTACATACATAGATAGAAAAAAAAGTATGTCGCTGCGCGCGGGTCGATAATATCGACACATATTCGGCTAGTCGTATTTTTGGAGCGGCGATACGGGAAAGGTTATTTAAGTCAACATTACATTAAATTAGAGGCAATTCATTAATAAATTGAAAAATTAAACATAACAGATAAAATAATTGCAAAATTATAATAAAATCAATTGATTAAAAAATTTAAAATTAAAAAATTAAAAATTAAAAATTAAAAAATTTTAAATTAAAAATTTTCAAGTTTCTGATTTTTTGAATAATAAGTGTAAATAGAATAATTTTATTAGATCATAATTTGATAACAATTTTTAAAAAATGTTGATGATAATTATTCCGAAAAAATTATATACAATACAACCTAAGTTATAAAAAACAAGAAATATAATTATTTTAAAGAAAAAAAGGCATCGGACAAGACGGGGCGATGAGGGGGGGGGGGGGGGTACGTGATGGTGACTGGTGAGTGGGTGGTGATGCAGATAATGAAGGCCAGTGGTCATTTCTACACCATTCTCACGGCCGGACGATAGTCACGGGCGCGTTTGCTTTGGACGCGAAGACGACCATGGAAGCCAGCGAAGCCCGGCCACGACGGCTGCCAGAGTGACGACGACAGATGGCGACGAGTAGCTAGTGCGCGATATAGTGTGCATGACGGTACTGAAGCCGCTGAAGACGACTATTGTGCCGGCGACGACGGTGACCAAAGCTCGGAGCGAGCGACGGAGACTATAATATCGGCTGACAGGATCAGACCACTGGGCGAAAAAGGGAGAGGATCTGCGGACAGCATCGCAAAGCGCCGATGTCCCGATACTCGCCCTGGCGTCCCGCCGAGGAGCCACCGCACCGCCGAAGTCTGAAACGTTTCGTTTCCACGAGTCCGGCAATGCTGACTTCCGTGTTCCTGGCCACCCTGTAATTATAGTCATCCGTCACTCACCCGCCGTGGGCTCATGCGGTCTCCGCCGCCGCCACCAAGAGTCGTCTTCTTGCAGCACTGCAGCAATCGTCACTGGTAGTTGGTACCGTCGGAACGGCACGATGTCCGCCGTCCGCGCCGGTACCGCCAACCACCGTCGTAGCACAGAATAGATTAATTTAATCTATTCTGTGGTCGTAGTGTCGTCGTCGTCGTCGTTCTCGGACCGAAGCAGCCGAGTCCCCGCCGCGCCGCCAGAGGGTGTCGCGTGTCGGCACTCGGCGACCTCGAGCGCGTGACGTCTGCGATCCCGTCTAGCTACCAGGCCAGGGAAGGTGTATCGGCGACTTACCTCAGTGCACTGTCGTGTACCTAAACCTCGTCCCCACGTCATAGCCTCGCCTTGTCCGCTGCCCTCGGCCAAGGGAGAAACTCTCGGCAGGTTTCACTTCGGGGAACAGCAGCAGAAAACGAGTGCGGCCTTGGTGATACCTCTCCACGCAGCGGACGCGACCTCATATATGATACATATGCATCATGGTTTTTTTTTTATAAGCATTTAAAGTTCAAATTTCGTCAAAGCCACAGTTAATTTGTAGTTCAAAACTTATAAAATATTAAATTTGTATAAACTAAGACTAGAAAATTTAATACAAGGTCTTTCATACAAGTAGTTCATACTTTTACAGAAAAATTACAGATAATTTTAGGAAAATTGGTATGCAAATACAATGTTTTTTTCAAAAATGAATTCATTCTGGTAAGACGTATATGAAATTTATGTCTTGCTTATTATAGTTGACAGTTGAAACTTGATAAATATTTTTTTTAAGTAATACAATACGGACAATGAGGAGGGGGGCTTCAGCCAGTTAGCCCCTATATACTGTTGTACTCGTTTTATACTTGTATAGGTGAAGTCTTTTAGATTCTGATCGTAGCGATTAATGCGTATTGATATTTTACAATTATGTGTGTTTTTGTGTATGTGAATACACGGCGTTCTATGGTAGAAAAAATGCTTTGTTCTTGAATATTGGGGATGATTTCAGATTGAAAATTGGATCTAGTTGTTACCTACCCTCGAAGATACCTAAGTAGCTTCGATTTTTGAGATCAGCATCTTTTCAGATGGAAAAGTGAACCTAGTTGGTACTTTTAGGAGGTCAAAGTTGAAAATTCCAAGTAGTTTTGGAAAGCATCGAGAAAAACTACCGAAAAATTACGAACACCCGCTAAAAATAGGATTTTAACTTCTAACGATTTGTGTATCACCATAGCAACGAATAAAAAATAATAATATTATAAGGACTACGCTAACCGGTCAGAATCGTTTATCGTATACAATGGTTTATCATTGTATTCAAATATAACACATCCATTACAACCACTTGTCCACCTTTTTTTTTAATCTCTATGTTTTTAAACACCTTACACAATTGTTTCAAAATAATTTAAATTTTAATAACAAGACGTGATATATATATATATATTAACGTAATTATTTATTAAATTATTAATCATTTTGTGTAGTCCCCACTCCCCATATGATGCGTCCGTGCCCTGATTATTTATGTGACTTATTAAGAATATCATACATTTCATCATTATATAATTTATATACATAATATAATATATACATAATATAATATTTCAACTTCATTATTTTCTGTTCTATGTATCTAATGGAAAAATGAATTCATTAACTTATTATCTACTTTAGCAATGTCACGGTCGTAGCGATTTACCTAAATGTCTACGTCTGTTGTTGTCTAATGATTTCTTATTTTTTCAATATTTAGCTTGTATTGCTTTACACTACCTACGTCATTTGTTAGTTTTGTAACTTTCTTCATAATGTAGGTACTAACATTGAATTTGCATTTAAAATAATATTTTTAATTTTTTGTAGGAATTAACTTTTAAAATTAATATTATTTTCAACTGCATTCATTTTTTATTGAGTAATCTTACTAATAATAACGTTGAAATTTTGCAGCTCACTATACGTCCTCACTATCTACTATTGAAGTCTGTTGAAGTTAAACTTCTGAAAAACGCGGTAGGTGAACACAAATTACAAACTCTATAATATTGTAAAATCGTTTAGATAATTTTGTCATTAATTGTAATATTGTACACTGTACAGTGATTGTTGTACCTACACATCGCGAATTATATCAAAAAATCTATCTACTTTGTTAGATCACGTGATGTGTACAAAACTCATTGCAGTACCCATTGCAAAATTCTTCTTCACTTCTCACTTTTAATTATTCAGCAGATATTTTTTTTGAAAATATTGTTGTGTCTAAATCAAAATTCAAATGAGTAATTTTTGAGTTATATGATTTTGTGTATGAAGGATATTATGTCTATGAGCGTAATGGGTTAAATAGATTTGGGTGCTTAGATAGTTAGATGATTTGAAAATTTTAGGATTACTATTGAGGATTTATTGATCTACCAATATCAATAATTTGTGAATATCATCCAAGTATAATGAATACTAAATCTAATATTAGATGTAGCTTATATTTTTGTAAAACCATATTTAAGGATTTTTATCCTTACCTAATACAAACACTTTAATAGCTCAGAAACTACTAATTAGAATTTTGATTTAGATACATAAATAGATATTTGTATTGGCACAGGACACTCCTTAAATAGGTAGTACAAAAAATATCATCAATTTGAAAATATGGTCTTTAGGTGTACTTAAAAATTTTAAAAATCAGAATTTGAATACATGTAATATTAAGGGAAAAACTGGGGATGAGCATGTTTAAAAATATCACCCTGTATACTATAAAATACTATCTATACCTCAGTTCTACATAACATAAAATACCTAACAAATATATATAGTAAATATGTAGATATATCTATAATAATATAGTACCGTGGTTCAGACTTTCAGAATTACCTACTACTTCAAGTGGTGCCTTTGCGGGTTTTCAAAATTTCAACAGCCCAATAATTTACTAATAGAGCATCGTGAATTTAAACTGTATTTATATTGGTACAATTGAACATAAATTACTGTTTTGGTATGTAATATCATTGAATAGGCAATTCAACTATTACAGTTATGATTTATTTGTGATATGGTTATACATTTACGTAGGTATATAATACCTACTAATAATTACTATAATTCTATTATAAATTACAATACAAATATTTATGGTTGTAATCTCGACCGAGACCATGATAATATTAATTAAATGTATCACGAGTATTCACGACCCTGAGACTATAAAATTAACATGAACGCAACGACGTTTTGCCGCCATTCGGTCTGTTCGAATCGGTCATGTTTTTATCATCATCGTTCCTTATTCGCTTTCCGTTTTTTCCTCCATGAGTACGTAAATCACATGCTAGCTCACCGATATTATCAAACAGGCACACCGAGCTAGACGAGGTACGAAATCGGAATTCGCCGACATTCGATTTTGATAATAGGAAAAATATTAACTACCTACGGTAGGTACCACACGCGTTTTACGGGTTCGACTTGACTTTGTAATATACCATAAATACATCCCGGAAGACGGACTCGGCCCATCAATAATCGTCGTCGCCAAGCGGAAACATGGCCACAATGTTGAAGACCGGAAAATTAATCTGTTACACGCGTAAGTCCTACAATTTTTCTTAGACAATATCCTAGGACGTGATTTTTCTAATGTGCCTAAGTATCTATATCGTTGGTTTGCTTCCAGTGCCCAAGAACAAATCGCCTGCACAGCTGAACAGATACTTTCAAACGCTGCGTGTAAGTATTCGGGACCGGTCGCGTATATTTGTATTTCATTAACATTACCGACTGTTTGGGTTTTGCACAGAAATACAATGTTCCCCTGCAGAGGTGCCTGAACGACGTCTTACGAAGACAGAATGCCGTCGGTCCGGTCGTGGGTTGTGCTCGGATGTACGCTGCTCCGTCTGAAAAGAAAGTGTTCCAGAGGGTCAAACCGCATTGTAACATCGGCACCATTGGACACGTAGATCACGGCAAAACCACACTCACGGCTGCCATCACTAAAAGTAATGTCTCATTTTTAATAGATCTCAAGTGTCCCATGTACCTATTGACTATTATCAACATTGGCTAACTTTGTATTTCTATCAGTCCAGTTGTTTATTTTTGTCGAATTCAAGGTTAGATTATTTACATAACTGATTATTACTCGGAACAAATACTTGTAGTTTGTTTTGGGATAATAAATAATTTTAAACATTTTTACAATACAATAATATTTAGGTTTTAGATTCTGAGTGAAACGATGAATGTATTGATTTTACAATGATGTGTGTTTTTTTTTTTGTGTGTGTACACGATAAGTAGTCGAAATAATGCTTCGATTTTCGACTTAAGTATCTTGTTCGATTGGAAAGTGAATATCGTTGGTTCATTGGGGAGGTCAAAATTTAAAATTCCCAATAGTTTTCACAAGCGCCGGGAAAAACAACATAAAAATGAAGGAAAAACGGGAATTTTTACGCAAAATAGGTTTTTGACAAAATCGAATTTGGTTTTTGGTGTAACTTTAAAACAAATGACTGTAGGAACATGAAATTTTGACTGGTTGTTTATATTTGCCTTTTCTATACACGATAACATTTTCAAAATATTTTGATTTATTATGAACTGTTTAGGGACATTTTCATTTTCCATTTTTTTTTTAGTTTTTTTTCTAAAAATATCAATAAAACTTTGTTTGTTGAGTAGAAATACTTGAAAATGTAATACAAGGTTCCTACTATATTGTTTCAAAGGCAGATGAAAAATATTAAAAATCGTTAGTCACAGTTTTTTTTTATAAGCATTTAAAGTTCAAAAATTGACAAATCACGAAAATTAGCAAATTATTTTGAGTTAAGTATTCGTAAAAATTTTTCTTTTTAAATCGATGATTTGAAAATGTAATACAAGATTACTCATAAGTTTGTCTACCTTTATCAATAAAAAAATCTCTACCGGACAGTCAAATTAAATTTTTATGAGCGTTTGAAATTCAAATTTTTACAACATTGGATGTTCACTCGATTTCTCATGTAGCGATTTCCTTATTTTATTGTTATTCATAAACGAATAACTATAGATACAAGAAAATTTCACTGAATGTTTGTATAAGCATTTCCTATACACCATACAATTTTGAAAATATTTTGACTCTTTTTGAGCTGTTTACGGATATTTTCATTTTTAAATTTTTTTAGTTTTTTTTTCTATGAATATCAATAAAGTTTTATCTGTTGGGCCAAAAAGTGTAAAAATTTAATACAAGGCTCCTGATATATTGTTACAATATCAGTTGAAAAATATTAAAAATACATAGGCACAGTTTTTTTTTATAAGCATTTAAACATCGAATTTTAACAGAATTTTTCAAAATCTCGAAAATTATTAATCATCGTAATTAATAAATTATAAAATAATCAGTTTTTATAGCTAAGAATTGAAAATTTAAAACAAGATTCCACGTAAGTAGTTAATTCTTTTACCAAAAAATCTAAAAAATATACAATCACAGTTTATTTTTATAGTCATTTTATGTTCAAATTTGGACGAAATTACACATTAAAAAACCTAGTTATTTTGTTGTGATTATATAATATTATTCATGGGTACCTACTTGAAACTTCTAAAGTTTACTATTATATATCAATGATAGTATCAGGATTTGTTATTGATGTTGATGTATAACGTGTTATAAGTACCTAATGGATATTGTGATAATGTGATATGATTAATTTGGAATTTATTATAAGTGAATTTTTTTTTTTAATACCATAGATATGTATATAATTTGTCTTAAACCTAGACTGACATACCGTCTTCGCTCAGAATCGTTTTTCTTATACAATGATATTGTATCATTGAATTCAAATTTAATACCATCCATTATACAGTGACCCACTTGTAACCTACAGTACAGCAGAGCGACATCCACTTACCCACCTTTTTTTTTATGTTGATACCTACCTAATTTTTGTCATCTTTTCAAATATACGTTGGAAATTTAGGTATATTACCTATTAGGCTAGGTACATTATACAATTTTAGATTTATAAATAATTAAAATAGCAAACCGTACATTGCCCATACAAATGAATATCTCTTATTTAAAAAAAAAATAGATTCACAATGAATTTCTGTTTTTGACATTTGAATTGTAATTATTGTAAAAACAAAGTCATTTTTGTTTGTAAAATTGTAGGTATACAAATAACCTATAAAATATAATAATATACTAGTCATGTCCTTATAGTTTCATGGACAAAATAAAATGTATATCATGTTTTATTATAGATATCAAATATTCCATTACATATTACACCATAAGCTTACCGCACGGGGTAGTCTCATGGTAAGCCCTTCTCAGCGATCTCCCCCCCCCCCTCAATATTAAATTATATTATGATAATCGATCATTTTATTTTTATTTATAAAATACTTTTTACCATGGTAAATATAGTTAAATAAGGTTATCCCATCCAAATTAGTTTTTATAACTTACGCTTGAATAAAAATATAAAATATATTATGTATGTGTGTTATGTATTACCACCCTGCCATAAATGTCTGTACACGCTTATGATTACACTATCGTTAACAATGTCATCAATTTTAAAAAAAATAACTAGTCAAATATTAGAACAAATTATAATTAATATACTATACATGATACAATAGGTGAACTATAATTCTCTTGTCCAAAAAAGGGGTACTTACCAAAAAATATAATTTTTGTATTGTTAAAGTGGTTAGTCTGGTTTTTATTAAATGAAATATTATTTACTAGTATTTAACATTATACAACATTTGGTTTTTAGTTTTATCATCAAAAAAAATGGCTAAGATGAAACAATATGCTGACATTGATAACGCACCTGAAGAAAAAGCCCGTGGAATCACCATTAACGTTGCTCATGTTGAGTATGAAACTGAAGCTAGACATTATAGCCACACTGACTGCCCGGGACATGCTGATTACATTAAGGTAACAAAAAACAAAAAAAAAATTAATGAAATATTTATTTACACATTGTTTTTATTGCTAGAACATGATCACTGGAACTAATCAAATGGATGGAGCTATTTTAGTAGTAGCTGCAACTGATGGTGCTATGCCTCAAACCAGAGAACATTTATTATTAGCTAAACAAATAGGAATCGGTCATATTATTGTATTCATTAATAAAGTCGATGCAGCTGATGCAGAAATGGTTGAATTGGTTGAAATGGAAATTAGAGAACTGCTAACTGAAATGGGTTTTGATGGTGAAAATTTACCAGTTATTAAAGGTTCAGCACTATGTGCCCTTGAAGGAAAAGAACCTGAAATTGGTAATACAATATTTATATTTTCCATATTTCTTCTAAAGTTATGTAATTTAAAATTTTATGTGTAGGAGAAAAAGCTATTGAAGCTCTACTGGCCGAAGTAGATAACTATGTTCCACAACCAATGCGTGATTTAGATAAACCCTTCATGTTGCCAGTAGAACATGTTTACTCTATTCCAGGACGTGGCACAGTGGTAACTGGCAGATTAGAACGTGGCATAATTAAAAAAGGAAATGAATGTGAATTTGTTGGTTATAACAAAGTCATAAAATCTACAATCACTGGTAATTATATTCAGTGTTCGTTAGCTAGGTCCATCATCGATAATAAAGGGATTGATAGACCCTACTATACAAAGCGTTTTTAAAATTAGTTATTTCAGAATATGATAGTAGGCACTAGACAGTAATATTTGTTGACTACATGTTGTAATATTACATAAATAGTTATAAAAGATTTTAGATTCATGAAATAAAACATTAACACATGTGATCTACTTAGTAACCTTATGTATTAATAATAATTTATATAAAACTTTTAATTAACCAGACCAACTTTTTTTGAGTAAAAATGTATTAATCATCTATGTACATTATGTTCTTAAAGAATAAATAAAAATAAAAATAAATAAAATGTACTCACCCATTTATTATAGCTTATAGAAATAATTAGATGAATTGACTTCAGTTAACAAAATATCTATTGTATGTTAAAATCAAACAATTAAAATGATTAAAGTGATTAATTAAATACCATTTTGGTCATAAATTTATATTTTATTAACAGTATAACAAAATATAGTTACTGGTCTGTTATCTGCCTGCTACAAACCTTTAAAAAGTTATAGCTTTATAAATGTTTATTTTTTACCTGCACTGATTTTGTCCAAAATATACGTAAACTTGTCTTATGACTTAATTGCCCGTGTATAATACTGTTAGCAAACAACAATAGTATTGCATTATTATTAAATATGATATATATATGCAATTAGAATTTAAAATTTCATTTCACCATTAATTAAAAATAATAAATCATCTAATATTAAAATACATATTTTAAGGAGTTGAAATGTTCCACAAAATCCTTGAAGAGGCTCAAGCAGGAGATCAGCTAGGAGCTTTAATTAAAGGTACAAAACGAGATGATTTGAGACGTGGCATGGTATTGGCCAAACCAGGAACAGTCAAAATGCAAGACTTTGTCTCCACTCAGGTGTATGTGTTAAACAAAGATGAAGGTGGAAACGGTAAACCACTTGTACCCTACCAACAAATGCAAATGTATTCAAAGACTTGGGATTGTGCTTGCCAATTGAATATTGTTGGCAAAGAGATGGTTATGCCTGGTGAAGATTGCTCGTAAGTATAAACATTTTTTCAAGACTATTAGCATAATTATTAGTTATAAGGTATAATTAATTAAACAAATTATCATGTGTGGATACAAATTTTTTAAAATTGTTTCATTATAAGAATTTTACAAGCTTATAGACATTGAAATTAAACCGAGGCAACAGATAAGGAAGGTTAGGTTATGTTAGTTTAATTGCTGTTACGGTAAACAATAAATGGAGAATGAAGAATTATTTTCAGCGTAATTTATTTTACATATGATTTAAATTAAGATATCACTTAGTGTCACTAATAAACACAGTGTCAAAGTGTATCAGCAGTTGAGACATATTTTTATAGGGATACAATAAGATACAAATATTGATAGGATATATAAATTATAACTTAGAATAATTATTTTCATTTTTCATTATTTTTTATTGGTAGATTCTACAGACTACACTTCATATCTTATAATATTGTCTGTTATTGCCAATTATTCAATTTATTATGTCATTTATACTGTATTTTGTAATTCTCAAAAAATAAAACGTTTCGTACATCAATATGACGTATGAATACAGAATATGTATGAAAATAATTTTACTATACTCGTGCCGGCACTAGAACACTTTTGGGCGACCAAAATTTGTCCGATCTTGCACATTCCCACCACTAAACCTTCCCGAACGCTGGCCACCTTCAACTCTGGCCGCCGCCAATGTCGCTGCCACTTCAACCTGGTCACGCGTAGCGAGTGGGAAAATTTACAGCTTCAATTAGGTGGTAGAGTAGGAGAAATTTGGGTACGAAACCTCGGAGCTCCGTCAATTGGATGCACGGACAAGAAATATTCTCTCGTCGGCAAGAGTATAACTTTTATTTCGACCCTCTCCCCCCCCCAAAAAAAAAAAAAAAAAAAATGATGTTTTATGATATTTTGATAATCTTTATTATATCTAATAATTACAATTAATGCATTTTTCTAGTGTTGAGTTGAAGTTGATCAGACCCATGGTTCTGGAAAAGGGACAACGATTCACATTACGTGTGGCTGGTTCTACAGTCGGAACTGGAGTGATTACTGATATTAAGAAAAGATTATTGGATGAAGAAAGGCGAGGATTGTTGGAAGGTAAAAAAGCACGAGAAAAGAAAAATGCTGAGTAGGTCATTAGTATTCTTCAACGGCATTTCAACTCCAGTATGTACATAAAGTCATCGTTCTTTGTTTCTTTGTAACTCGGTCACAAAGTGCATTATTGATAACATTGTAGTTTTAATATATTTAAATGTAAGCACTATTATATGTTTTAATGTTTAACAGTTATGTTATACTTTTGAACATATTTAAAAAAATAAAATACATTTTATTAAAACATCCGTTTTATTTTGTGCTATTGAATATACAATTCATAACTGATTTGATAGTTCTTAAACATATAAATATTTAACAAAATAAATAATGTGGATAAAAAAAAAAATTAAAATTAAATGTTTTTACATTATTATGAAAATGAAATCTGTGAATATAGTATAGCTTAATTTATTTTCCATGTGTTACTGTTTATAAAAATGAATACTCAAGGCTGACCCTTGTACACATTTTATTTACAATTATTCTTGATTTGTTCAAATTATTATTATAACTATTTTCCCATCGACTATTATTTTTGATTCTGAGCAAAATTATGCATGTATTGGTTTTACAATGATGTGTATTTGTTTTTTTTTTTTTTTTTTTTGTCATTTTCCACGGATACTAGGTAGAATAGAATCTTAAATTTAGTAGAAACGTAATAAGGACACACCTTTCACCAATGCTTTTTTTCCTAAAAAATATAATAGCTATAGTATACAATTACTGTTCAATGTAAACGCTAACCGGAATCTACCTAATAATAAGCTCACACAGTCCAAAATAATGTGTTTGGTTTTAATATTTTTAAATCTATGGCCAGCAGCCGGATTCTAATCAAAACGTTTATCTTCATTATGGATGTATCTTTAGTGTAGACCTTAGATCATAATACGATGGATAGAGCTACGTATGTGTTGCTGGCACATTGAGTTGTGATCACCACCCATTTCATTTCATTGAACAATGTATTATTGCTCATTTGTCGCGCCAAAAATTACTATAAAATAATTAATAAATGGAGGGGGTGGGGGTTATATTGTACACAGCAATTTTAGATTAAAGTAGCTCCTTCTATTGAATATGATCAGACTATATAATGTAAATTTCTCACAGTCTGTGGTATGGAGGTATGTGGTATATATATAATATGTACTATATATAACGGATTATATATAGCTTGTTACCATTCTTCGAATAACTACTACATTCTTGCTTCAAAATAAATTATATAATAGGTAGGCAGTTGTGCACTTGTCAGTGGCAAGAGATGTATTGTGATAAAATTGTACCAACTAACAAAGTTAAAATGTGGTGATGAGTTTACCTACTACTACCCAAGTACTGAGAAACTACTTTCTATTTATATATCTTTATGTATTGGAACGAATGCATTTTTGGAATGTTAAGCTCGAGAACACGATTTTTAAAAAACGTAGATAAAAGTTATGTCAATAAATCTATAATTGTCGTACAAAATGCGCATACGCACCTGCTGAAAGGCGAAGGACAATACTGAACACTGCAGTCGTGTGCCTGTTTTGCCTATACTATACGCCGGGCTAGTGGGCAATACAATGTTTGAGTGAATTATTTAAGACAATACATATAATTATTATTATTATTATTATTATTATAAATTATTTATATTAATTGTATTTAATATACAATAGGGGCTATAAAAATCCGAAAATAATGTCGCAACAAATAATTGGACCAAAAAATATTCCAGCCAAATGATATTTTTGACGATAACATAATATTATATGATTTACGATCCTACAAATATTTTGGTCGAGCCATGTATTAGACGACAGATATTTTGTCCGAACCGTATTTCAGCCGGAAAGTGTTTGACAGACACGTATTTTAGCTGTCAGCCAAAATATTTCTGCGCTAAAATACAATCTGCTGGAATATTTACCGGCTAAACAAACGCATTAATTATTAATGTAGAATTCTCTAGAATCAGATTCGTTCCAAATTAATATTATACGTTTTTATAAAAAAAAATTGACGAAACTTCAAGCAGGAATTAATCATCGTTTCGTGACGAGAATTATAGGTATCACGCGAAAGTAAGTATATGTAGCTTGGAAAATGTTTCGTTCGTCAATACCTGCAACACAGTAACATAATATTATTGTATAATAAATAATTATAGGCACCTACATGGCTATATTATACATTATTATACCACTAATTGCCGTGCTACATCCTTCGACTATATAGGGCCCAAATACCAGGCCACAAAGTAAATTTTTTTTTAACCATCGTATTGATCGTTCATTCTCCCCCGACTGCTATATAGTATAGACAACTGTGGGTTATAGTTTCAATTTTGTCTTCATATTATTTAAATTGTTTAACTTACACTACCCACCCCCCCCACCACTATATGTTCAACAGACTTAACCCGACATTAAGTTTTCAAACATATATGATTATGATGTATCTTATATAATGATGTAGGTACCTATGTATTAAATCCGTGTGTACATTTAAATTCAAAGGTCGATTTATGAATATAAAATTAAATCCACGTATAATTAATTATAAATAATAATATAATAATATATACTGTTACAGATATACAATAATATTATAAAAATCGAGGATAAAACATGAAATTATTTTGATTGATGTCCAATATGTTTATGTATAATAAGTGTAATAATATACTTGTCTTACAAATATATAATATTTACCTTTACCTATACACAGGAACATGCAATATGTAGTTGGTTTGTCGACGAGGCAGGTCATCAGTTTCTACTTTCTACATAAGTCAATATATTATAAATGTGTCTGATTGTTCTGAACACTGTCGTATTCAACTAGTATTGCTGGTAAGTTGACAAACGGATAAACGTTTATTTTTGAAGAGGTTTGAGTGGAGAGTATAGTTTTTTAGCCAATATTGTTCCTAACCATCGGTAGGTATTTTCGAGGGACGTCCAGAAAGTAAGAGTACGGTATGGCTCTCACGGTCGTATTATAGTAAATAATAAAAAAGGTCAGTTGTAAATAATTTTAATTTTTAATGTAAACTTGTATTCTTATCATACATTTATTTGTCATGGTTGAAATTCAATTGTAACGAATAATTATTGTTCATAGTTCCATAAAAGTACTCAGAACTCCATTAAGGGTTTATATTTTACGATATTAAACACTTATATTTGAACATAATAATACAATACGACAACCGACGGAGTTTATTGAAATAAATGTTTAAATTTAGGTAGTTTTGAAAAATGGCTACCGGGACAACAACGGTATCGAAGAACGAGGACAGCTTAATGATAAATATGCGATTAATGAAAAAAACTGGATTCTATCAATTATTGGATTCGCGCAGTGTAAAAGTGTTTGGTCACAACGTATTCAAATGCATGTCCGTGGTTCAAATGTCGGTGCTTTTGTCGGTGGCCCTTATATTTGTCGCAAACATATATTATTTTTCGGACGACATCAATACAGTAATGATGTATTCGATGTTCATTACATCCGATGTGCTCTCGATATTGAAACTCTATTACATACTCCGAAATTCAGATACGATTTGGAACTGCATACAGATGACGTCTATCCAAGACTTGTCGTACAAGTATCACGATGGGCGTATACTCGAAGAGGGCCGATCCAAGTCCACGTCGTATTCGATACTAATTATCTTTATGTGGTTGAATCTCGCGGTATCTTGGTCGTTGGGTCCGCTGTTTGTGACAAATTATTTTTTAGTCGTAGAACAGAACGACGAGATTTACCGTTACCGTTTCAACATTATGAATTTCGCATTTCCGGCGACCGATCGGTTCTACAACGACAATTTCATGATTTATTACTGGATAGAATTTATCCCACTGGTGCTATGGTGCCAGTGCACAATGAATTTCGATATATTACTGTTGTCGATGAATATCACGCTCAAGTATCAGTTAAAAACTATTGCCAATTCATACAGTGCCTTCGATTTCACACGATATAACGACTTTAAGAGTAAGTTATTATATACCTACACAATATTACAATATCTGCGTTATAATTTGTAATAAAGGATAGGTGTTTAAATAACTATAATACTGGTTACCATTTTTTTTTTCATTCTCGTGCCGATATCAAGATAATCGTACAAAAAATGTTAAACACCACAAAGAATCAGAATCAATGGTTGATTTCAAGAGTTTGATTTACGATCAACAGCGTGTTATTGAGTAAGTATAGGGTAACTTTTATTTCTCATTCAAATATTTAATTCAAGTGTTCATACAGTATATTATATAGACGTAGGGGGTCATATGATAGTATTCTAGTGTATATGATAGTACCTATAGCTGACTACATGACAAATTAGATAGATGTCATCACAGTTCTACTCAGGCACGGATCCAGAGAAAATATCTGGGGGTCTCAACAGTTTTTTTACAACACAAATACAATTATAATAAAATATTATACTTTACTAAAAATGTTGTCATAATAGTAGGTATAGGTAATCAATGTGAAAATTATTGATTATTTAATATATTAAGCTACAATATGTTAAAAGAAGTTTAGATTTTGTTTATTTGTTATTTAATATATAATATTTATATAATTTATAAAATAATATGTCTAGGAGGAGGGCCTGGGCCCCTAGCCTCCCCCCCTGGATCCTTCCCTGACTTGTACTACTTTTGCGCAGAAGATACGCATCTCCTTCACTTCCGGCCCATGTCGACATGTCGTAGTTCTCCACTTCTCATTGGTTGATTTTGTTCTATGTTATATAGGTAATATGTAAGTATATATGATTGAAGAGCGGAGGATGCGTATCAAAACACTGTGATGATACCTATTTCTAATTTGTAATGATTGACTATAAGTGTATTCTTATTTTTCAAAATTATTGTAACCAAAATAATATATAGGTACTAGGTAGGTACCTATATCGGGCTATATACAAGCTACATCTTGTGTATACTGTATGGCCATAATGTTAAATAGGTTATTTAGGTATAGTATTTTTAAATTTTATTCTATACTTGGAAAGTGACCAGGTTAAAAATTAAAATCATAATATTATTTTAGACTATACAATAATTTAAAACCTGTATTAATATATTAATATTCTGGGATATCAATAAGAGTTCGTTTTATAGATGAGCGAAGATTTTATGTTACTGTCTGAAATATACTTTTGTTTATCAAGGGGCATTTATACATTATTGACCTCTTCTGAAAACGATGTTGGCTACGTCAATATAGGCATATAACTATCTTGTGGTGTGATTTGTTAATAAAATAATGTAATAATTTATTATTCCAGAAACATGAGAAACATTTACCGAGTATTTCGACCTGTGGTGCTTACTCAACTAGCTTTAGAGTCTTTAATAATAATGCTACTGTCCTGTATCATAATGCTGGTAAAATTAGTTTATTATTATAATTATTATAAATAGGTATACCTGTGCATACCTATAATAAATGGCTAAATGCGAGAAATTTACGGGTGGTGCTTTTGCATTATTCAGAACTATTTCAATGGTATTTCGTTGTTATCCGCGCTGAACTTGAGACTATTTGCTGCGATATCGACGTTTTTATTTCACATATATGTTATCTGCTACTTATTCGACGACGTCAACGAACAAGTACGTTATACATACCTAATATACTAAACTATAATTAGTCTTTAGTACTATATTGTTACGTACAAAAAACGGTTAGTTATTTTTAATAGTTTATTGTAGGTAGTAGGTATACACGGACATACGTTATTGTATTATTATACATTATATACTATCCTGCCAGACTGTCTGCTATAATTGAACTAGTTGAACTGACTGGCCACCTGTTACGTGCAGACCAATCTCAAGTGACATCGTGCACTTTCAGTTTTGTATAGATAAAACCTATACATTAATATACTGTAATTTATATTAAAAATCCATCGTCTCTCTATCCGCACACGCCTTATACTCAACAGTCAACACTATAGATACCTACACCAATGCCGGACTACACTGCACATCTACTCAACGCCTCAAAGTCCACATTGTCAATTATTATAGACTATAGTATAAAATATAAACGAGACCTGTATAGGTAGTTCTTCGAATCTCGAATGATTTAATAATATTTAATTATTTAATTTACATAAAATACCGCATCGATCTACCCGCGACATATTGTAACGTCGCAATCTCGACTTACGTCGTTCTTCGCATTATTTTTTAGAAAGATTCGATGAATCTTGCTTTGTACAGCAGTGATTGGACGGCAAGCAATCTACAACATCAAATTCTTCTACTTCATGCCATGCGGATGAACAACGCCGAAAATCTGAGACTACGAGTGACGAGACATAAAATAGTAAATTTTCAAATGTTTACATATGTAAGTATGATTTTTTGTTCTTTTTACTGTAGAGTTGCAATAAATTATGTAGACTGATTCATTTGTTAATTTGTTTTATTTAAACAACAATTCAGAATAAATTGTGATACAATTTTAAACTATAAAATTATCTCTATAAATTAGAATTCTCGGATCACCAAATATTTCTAAATGTTTAGGAAATATAAAATATGCGATTTTATTCGTAGCACCTTAACGAGTGTGTATGGTGTATCGTTTGCAGCTACATTTTTGATAAAGTACTGAGTAGTTATACTAACAATAATCTTCTATTCATAGGGTAAAACTACCTAAACTTTTAAAACCAGGCATCCAATCTGTCTCTGTCCTCTGCAGCTTCTCTCCATCCTGTTCCAGGTCCTATCGCTCCAAACATACCTGGACCCTGGTGACACAGTCCTCTCATCTCAGGCGAGGTCTACTCAGAGGTCGTTTTCCTGCAAGATTATTTTCGATCACGGTTATCTTATTATTGATTTCGGTTTCCTCCCATTTCAGTCTTCTGAAAGATATTTCTTTTGTAATGCTAGGGTGTTGAAAAAGAACCTCAGTTCCCGATCAAGTCTTTTCCTCCATTCATATCGATTTGACTATTCTTGTATGGTCCGAAAATTATTCATAGAATTCTCCATACGAAAATACCCAATCATATTTCTTTCGTTTTTCTAAGGGGTCGTGTTTCTGATCTATAAAGTAAAACTGTGCGATGTTATAATATATGTCTGGTATACTAACAATAATGTTATATTAATATTACTGATGTACCTACCAATTATTATAATATTCGATCGCTATTCGATTTATCATTTGTCATATTCTCGTGTGGTTAATAAGTAATAACCCTTGTTTAATCTTACACTCCCCGCGCATTATCTCATTTCTATAAGAAATGATTGCCCCGAAGATTGATTACTTTCATATTATTCCCTATCAGAAATACTCAAATTCGGAATATATTGTAACCGTCCAACCCTGAGCCTATAGTCGTGGTTTAGTTATTTTAGGTAAACTCTCATATTACTATTATCATATTTATGCAAAATGTAATATGTATAGTGAGACTCCAGTATATAGCAGTACCTATATAACTTAATATATTATTTTAATCCAACGGCGTGTAAACGAATCTAGTGCAAGCAAAATCAAATAGGTAGTGTTACAATACATTATTTTATAATATATAAGTAGGTACATGTAAACGCAATGATGTTATGTTCTTAAGTACTTTTGTTTTTTTTTTCGTATGTTTATAGATCATGCGGACAACGTATTCGATATTATCGGTGTTGGAAAAAATGTGTGCAAACAAGACGTAGACTATAATATTATGATGAAACTGGTAGTGGGCGTTGGATTCGAACGTTTGAAAACAATATAAATTAATATTATATTGTTATAATAATATTATTGTCCATAGGATTCAGAATAAACACATAAAATAGAATAAGATTAAATGTACCTCTAGAGAATAGATCCTGTTTACCGTTTGACATTTTGAATGTGTAATTCGTATTTTTCCAATCAAATTAATCAAAATAATACCAATTATAAACGCACAGGTTTTCTATAATAATTGTTTGCGCATTTCAATTTTCATTTACGATAATATATTAATATTGTTGTTAATGATTGCAATAAATAGCTATTCAAAAAAATTATTTTTTATTTTTCACATTATTTCACTAGTTTATGTGCTATTAGTCGTCAGTGGCGGCGATCCTATAGTTCATATGTTGGCTACACCTTAGTTCGAAAAAAAATTACATTTTCCAATTTTTTTTTCTATTAACGTATAGATCAAAATTTAAATAAATAGTAAAGTGCACTTTGAGGCATCAAATAAGCTGCTTCCTTTTAAAAATCTATGTAACATAAGCTTCGTTATAAATGCTGTTTTCAATAATTCCATTCCTAGTTAGAACAAACATCTCTGACATTTTTTTTTGGCAAAGTTGTTACTCGACGTTGCTGTAAACTATCTGGCTTAGTTTTGAAGTTCCCTCGGAAAACCCTTCCACCACAAAATTCACTAAAAGTAAAATTTGTATTAAAAAAGCTATCAACAGGTATGTCGAAAACACCTTAGTTTGAAAAAAGTAATATTTTCCATTTTCTTTTATATACTGTCATTTAAATAATAATAGTAATATTGTATACCGGTAATGATTAAGTTAATTTATTTTATACTATGAAATTATATGAGTTGGATTTAAACCCCTCCCGATAATTTGTTCCAGCTACGACATTGAGTTCAGTATACATATTTTGTACAAAAATACATGACGTATGTACATTATTGTTTTGTAAGTATTTTTCCACATTTATTTTCGAATTAAGTGTTATCATGATTTTTTTGTCAATCAACATTAATCATAATTTCTTATGAAAAACATTTATCATCAACTACAAATTACACATTTACATTTGCAGTAACATAGCAACAATTAGCAAACAAAACAAACAAAAAAAATCTAAATATTAAAACTCCACTATGCTGTATACACATTAACTAAAAAATGGAACAAACTGAAGTCATAGCGGTACTGTCGGTCGAGTCGGACGAAGTTCGATTCACAGTGGTATCGACCAGGGACGGCAACGAAGTGGCCACATCGGCCGAGACGTTTCCGTTAATAACCGCAGAGTCGAAACACCGGAAAGGCGGCAGAAAATCTGAAAGCTCAGATCAGCAGCCTGTGGCGGCGGTATCACCCACGCCAGCCACCGACGCGGTAACCGATTGGGGTGCGAGCTGTACATTGACAGCGGAGTCACCGATGAGTCAGGGTGACGTAGAACAGGACCCGGACGTTGTTTGGGAAGCGGTGCTGCGGGTGATCGGCGACGCGTTGGACAAGATGTCTCGGGACGGCATTCCGGTCACGTACATTAAGTCAGTATCCATCATCAACGAGATGGCCACGTTGGTAGCGTGGAACGCGGTCACCGGCAAAGCGGTGCACAACTTCATCCACTGGTCGGACGTTCGGATGGCCGAAGGCGGAACTGCCGCGGCCGTGAAATGGTTGCTCCAGCGGTCGTTGACCGTGCGGTGCACCGCGGACGACTGCCGGTTCGGCACACTGGACGCGTGGCTGACGTGGAAGCTGACGCGCGGGCACACTTACCAAACGGACGTGACGAACGCGTCGTACACTGGGCTGCTGGACCTGGCCACGCTGTGCTGGGACTCCGACAACATGCGGTCCCACGGTCTGGCGGCGGCTGCTTGGCCCGAAATCCGCAGGCTGGACAAACGCTCGGCCTCGGTGATCGTTGTTGGCCGCCTGTACGGGCTGTCCATTCACGTGACGATGGCCCGTCCCAGCGCCGTGCTATACGCACAGGCGTGCTACCGCCGCGGGCAGGTGGCCGTCACGCTGACAGACCGGACGGCTGTGGTGCTGGGCGCATACGACCACGGCCCGCCACGCTTGCAACCAACCTTAGGGCCATGTCCCGTGGTCGGCTACTGCGAGCCAAACATGGCTGACCGGAAACGTCCGACAGTCGTGTACGGCTTGCTGGCAGTGTCCAGGGCTAGCGCCGTCGTTTTCTGGCTGAAGAATATGGGCTTGACCAAGTCGTGGGACGATTGCATGAACACCTACGCTTCGGGTAGGGCGACGAAGACCGAACACCAGGCGTACATGGTGCCGGCGTTCGATGGCCTGCCGTCGGCGCCGTACGGACGGTCGGACGCGCGCCCCGTGGTGTGTGGCATCGGTGGCAACACCGGGCCCGTACACTTGATCGCCGCGGCCGTCGACTCGGTTTGCCACAGCGTCAACGACATTGTCCGGTGCGTGGTGGCCGGTTCGTCGTCAAAACTCGCAGAACCCGTGTACGTGGACGGGCAGTGTGCGGCGCGGGAAGGCCTGATGCAGCGGTTGGCAGACGTGTCTGGCAGTCGGTTAGCGGTGAAACGGTTGGACATGGCCGTCAGCGGCGTGGCACGGATGGCCGCGGCCGCGATAAACGTCGATTACGCGGACCGACTGGAGGCCGTGGACTACGTGCCCACTTCCACGGACGGACAGCGGTTGGCGTGGGACGGTCAGTGGGCGAAGGCGGTGCGCAGGAGTTACGGCTGGGTGGCCGTGGACGGCCGCGAGTTGGACGACCGGTTCGCTGAGCCCCGCGCCGACAAGCAGGCCGGCTACTTCGGCGTTTCACAGTTGGCCAATGTACTTCGCCGCGTTGGTTTCTGGTACAACAGGAAGGTGTATGATCTGCTCTACGCTTTGCGCAACTATTTGACGCCCAACACACCACCGTACGACGTGAACACCAATAGCTCACCCGGAACGCACGATACCACGGCATGTAAAATGTAAATCCACGTGAACGTTTTAGACTTGCAAGAATAACGTTTTAATAATATTTTAATTTATATCATTGAATTTTTCATCGCACGCTACGACTGTGATTTTACGATTCCGCGTATTTTTCTGGCTCAATGAAAGTGTCTTTCAGCTTCATCCAGACAATTTTGGTTTTAGAGTCACAGTTGAGAGGTCAAAATGACTCAAAACAATTTGGTATTGAAAACGAAAGAACACACTAGTACACTACAGTCTACACTCAACAATATACTAAAAGAACAGAAAATTTAAAAAACAAAAAAATTTGTATTTCTGTATTTCCTATCTCCTCCCGAAAACTCCATAACAATCCGAGGTCACCGAGCTGAAATATTTCTTGTTTACTTTAAAACGAAATAGGTACACTGTATTTTTATAAAATCTAAAATCACGCATATAGGTATAGAAACCAAAGTTATAGATACCGTTCGATGGACTTGATCTTCGCGTGTGGTAGAGGACGGCCTTCCGGCGGCGATTCGGCGAGCATGGTCTTGACCCTAGTCCTTTCCGAGGCTAGGAAGTCCGCAGGTGGCATGCAAGGCTAGGAGGAATGGGGCTTCGTCTGACAGTCCTGTAGGCATGGATAACGTGTGACCTGCGGTCTCATCAGGTCCATCCAGTGGCGTATATAGGGGGGAGGCCCCCTAGGCTAGAGCCCATAGTGAAATTGCAGGTTCAATTAAAGCATTGCATGTATATCTACACTGTTTACAGTTTTTCACCATGATTAAGTTAGCCGGTTGATTAAAATCGTTTTTGAGGAATCAACAAGGAAATGTTAGATGGTCAGGACTTGCTTTGATAACTTATAATTGACTTTGATGTTAAATTCATAGTAAGATAACATTAAAAATTAAAATATATAAATGACACTATCAATATTTTTTAAAAAAGAATCAAAAAATTAATTTTACATAATAATTAAATTGCGTAATTTTTATTTGTACTGTATGTCATAATTATAACCACCCAGCTCCCTAAAAAATGTATAGTTATGGCTATGTTAGTTGTGCTTCTTGACTAGTGATAACTGATAAATTGGCCCATAGTGAAAATAATTCGTATATACGCCACTGGGTCCATCCTTGTTCTGGATACAGCTGAAATGTAGACGGACCATTATTTATTATCCTGCATTTATACAAGTTTACAACAATATAATATTGTAGTAAGTTTCCTCTTGCAGGTCACGTACAATAGATAAAAGGATGAACTCAGATGCAAAAAAAAATGTATAGTCTTGTTTAAATTAAAATTTGAAGTGGTTATAATTGTATTACTCAGATAAACACTTGTGAAGTTGTGAATTGAAATGACTATGGTCTATGACCGTAGAATAGTCAGTACAAAATGATCATAAGTGTTCAAAAAATATTCGATTCACTCGTATACTTTTCTAAGTACAAAATTAATTGTGCCAGAAAACATTGCAAGTCCAAAATATGTTTTAGCAAAACTAACTGACATGAAAGTGCTCCGTCTAGCTCGTGTAAAACAAGTCTGAAAACAGGCCGTTTCGGGGTCTCCTAAATAGTCCTGCCTCTCTCCCCCAGCCAATCTATAAAAGTAGGTATCTGGTTCCCACGAATGCGGTGTCCGTCCACAATTTTCTCGGAAATGCTTATGGCCCACACTCATCCCGTGGACTGCATTTTGACTAGGTATCTACTGAGTAGTATTAATATATAATATTTACATCACTATATATATAATATTTACATCACTATATATATAATATAATATATATACTTTAAGCCTTAAGGTATATCACTTAAAGGTAACTTATAGTATTATTATTACTATTAACTATCACGTTGGATGCTACGGGCGGTACTCTTTTCGCGGGTGTTACCCATTTGCGCCAAAAAAAATGATTTCGTTTTGGGTGCAGCCCATTTGCGCCAAAATAAAAAAGGTATGTTTTTCTGACAGCCCATTTGCGCCAAATTTACCTGGTATAATTATAATAAAGTAATATATTTTTTTCTCAAATAATAATAAATACAATTTTATTTAAATCATAGTTAATTATAGGAATGTTTTTAAAATAATAATCAATAATAGCTGTATATACACATTTTTTTGAAACAATAATCAGAATTAATACAAACTGTTTTTAAAAACTATACATATACTTATTACTAACTATTATAATTTATAACAAATAATATAAATAAAACATATTTTTTATTAATTATAATAAACTAATATATTTTTTTTTCAATAAAATTATAATTATAAATTATATATAATTATATAATTATAGTCAACAATACGATTTTTTTAAAAATAATTATCAATAATACACTTTTTAAACAATATTAAATAATTATTATAGGTACACATTTTATTGAAAATTATAGGCTATAGGTAATAATAGTCAATATCGAATTATAGTCAATAAAATATCAATATCAATCAAATTGATCATAATAAAAAATAAATTAAGATTTTTTTAGCATTATATCTTCCTAATCTGTATTGTAATTAAATGCAACCATTTGTACATAATCATAACGCGTCATTTTTTTGTTTTTATAATCCTCAATTGCTTTTAAAGTTTTTTTTAATCTGGTTTTAACTTGTGCATTTTTTTGAGGGTTAGGTATATTTTTAACACAACTGTTGATTTTAATATAAACATCTGTTTAAACTGTTTTAATTAAAATTTCTAAAAATGTAAAAATATTAGGATGCGATTTATAAAACTGTTCATTGAAGTGAGAGTGAAAAGATTCACAGTTATTGGTGGTTCTAGTTAAATCAGCTGCAAACGCTGCCCAAATGTTTGGAGGGAAATTGGCATTTTCTTCAATGTAGTTATCTACTAAATAATCTGCATATTTTCGGTATTTTGGATCATCAGGGATTTCAGACATAAAATCGTCAACCAAACAATCCGAAACTTCATTTGGATCGAGAAAAGTTAAACCAAATGTAAATTTTAACCACTTGTTATCCTTATAAGCTGAAGTTAATCCTAGTGATTGAATTTTCCTGTACCAAGCTTGAGTCAAGTGAAAACGACAGCCTATAATTTCGGATAATGGCCATACTGATTTCACAGCGAGATGTATAGATAATTCAAAATCAACAGTAACATATTTTGGTTTAAACATTAAACTAAAATTTTGCATGGCTTTATTTTTGATATAATATGATAAAACAAGTTGATACGTCTCTGTCGATTTATCATTTAAAATACAAAATACTAATGGTACATAATATTCGTTGATAAATCCATGAATGACAAAAAATTGAACAAAATATTTTGGACAGTACGAAAAAGTCCCGTCAACATAAATCGTTTCTGACTTACATAAAAATTTTAAATTTTCGTGGCATGTAAATATAATTATATTAGATAATTCGTCATTAATAAATAAAAAATCTTCGTTTTTAGAAGTAGTTAAATGTAGATCGTTTAATGCTTTATGCACATCAGACACAGATTTAGGATTTGAAGGAAGAGATTTTCTACGAGCATGGTAAATACTTTTTCGTATAGCGGATACATCAGATATAGTGAAATCTGTATTAGTTAGGTATGTGGTTATTCATTTCAGTTAAAATAATTTTTCTAGGACGAATACTTATGTCTTCGACAGCCACACGCTTACATGATGTACTTACATTTTGTCTTGCAATAGTTGTAAATTTTTGTGATTATGCCAATCTATAAAATTAAAATTAAAATCATTTATGATTCGATAACGTATAATTTAAGTGAGTTCTGTATTATTATTAAGGTAACAAAACAAGTAACGAAAAAAAAAATAATAATATTTATTGCGAAAACAGTTAATTTGTTTTATATATTAAGTAGGTAAATTTATAGTAATTTTATATTAAATTTAACACATTTTATTAAAATAAAAATTAATGTTTGCAACATACCATGCTTTTTCATAATTTTTCCATCTTCAATTAATATTTTTGCTGGACATATTTTATTTGAACAACGCCACCGTTCAACATTTTTAGAAGATGTATTTATACGCCAAAATATACTTATGGCCATTTATTCAACAACCATTTTCTTCCCTCTTGTGCTTGTCGTGAACTCCATTCTTATAATTATTTATAATTCAAATTTCAAATAATTATAATTAATAAATTCAAGAATATTATTTAGTGTAGGTAACGTAACGAATGTCTGATGAAATCACACTGCGATCGTTCTTTTGACGAATAACGATACCTATATCGTACAACATAATAAAACTGATATACAACTTGTTTGCTTATCTTTCGACGCAATAATATACAAAGCTTTAAAATCTATAGACTTATAAAAATAACTTTGATATATGTTACAAACACGACGTCTTTAAAATATAAGAGCTAACCAAGTTGTTAATTTAAAATGTTTACGCAGGTAAAGTTGGCGCAAATGGGCTGTCAGAAAAACATACCTTTTTTAATTTGGCGCAAATGGGCTGCACCCAAAACGAATTCATTTTTTTTGGCGCAAATGGGCGATGCCCCTTTTAGCCCAAATATTTTAAAACTACCTACTTTCCCTTTTTGCCCACGAATATTATATAGCACTTTTCGGCCTCATTTTTATAATACACACTTTGGGAAACACTATATCTACAATGGGCCGCTCAATATTTTAATCTTATCTTTATAATATCTGTTCAAAAGTGTGGTTTAACTTCTTTCTATAAAGACGAATCTTCAGAAATTGGAAAGTGGATACGGTATACATTTGGTTTGGTATTTTTAAATCCAGATGAAGTATCAAATTGTTTCGTTGAAGACCTACTATCTGACTGTCCAGTAAATGACAAATTAACAAATAACTGTGACTATTTAACCGATACTTACATAAGTAAGTATATACATATAATATAATATAATATTTAAATTAATATTATATTATTAAATTAAATTAAATTATTTGATAAATGATAAAAAAAAAAAAGCGGGCAATTTGAAATGGGCCAATGAGAACGTGGTATACA